CACCAAATTTTGGAAATAGCCTTTGTTTATCAATAATGGGATGGGAATATAAAATTTAATATGTATTGAAAGAAATATTATGAATCATTTTAACAGAATAAGTTAAAACACACACACTGACAAAGATATGAGACACAGAGCTTAGAGTTTAAAAATCAAGTTGCAGAAGTATACAGATAGAATTATACCATTTCTATCAGCTAAACATGCACACACAACAATACTCCATATTATTCCTGGATATGTATGAGTAAAACTGTGTGTTAAAAATACTGTAGTGAGACACAATAAACTCAGAATATTGGTTGCCTCTGAGAAAAGGAAAGAAAAATGGAACTGGAGGTGTATGGCAAAGAAACTTCAAATTTATCTACAATATTTTATTTATTGAATTTAAGAAAGGCTTTAAGTAACTATGGCAAAATGCCAAAAAGCTTTTAATTTGGGATAAGAGGATAACAAAAATTTGGGGTGACAAAGGAAGTGTTTGTTATGTTATCTTTGTTCTTATTTAAGTTTATTATTACTGCTATTATTAAACACACACACACCACACAAATACAAACTGTTTATCCCAAAACACAAGATTGTGCAGTATAAGAAAATCGTTAATTATAAAATGTCACATGAACAAAGTCAAAATGATCTCAAAAAATAAAAAAAATTGATATTTACGAAGTATCCTAGAGAAGCATTATTTTAGAATAATGACAGTAGGGTATTTTCTTAATCTGAGAAACCCCAGTCTCAAAAAGTGCATGTGTGCGCGCACACACACACACACACGCACATGCACACACACACGCACACACACTCACGCACACACACACATACACACACATGCCTTATGCATGCACACTCCCCATTTCCTGTCTTTAAAGTCTTCATTTCTTGGAAAACTAAGGTAGATGTGCTCTTACCTTTTAAATTTCAATTTCCGAGAAAACTAAATTTTCTCAATGCCTGCCTTCCTGGTCTCGGAGAAAAAGAAGCTGTTTCCTTTCTAGCAATAGAAATTTGCCTTTTTTATAAGTAGGAAAAAGGCTAGTCAGTTCTGCCTCTAAAGGAGCTCTTTTAACTTCTTGGAGAACAGTGCTAGGGAAAAGCTTGTTTGGATTCACTCTGAGCTATTATTAAGGATTATCCCCTCAGAGGAGAGAGGAATTGTTACTTCGTACAATAAGCCTGAGTTGCTCAAGAAATATTTAATGCAGTAAGGAAAAGAAAACAATGCTAGATTCAGACAGGGAATTAAGCAGTGAATCTAATTGTCTCAGTTTTTTGTTTGTTTTTTGTGTTTGTTTTAATTTTGGTATCCTTAATGTACAATTACATGAACAACATTATGGTTACTAGACTCCCCCTATTATCAAGTCCCCCCTACATACCTCATTACAGTCACTGCCCATCAGCGTAGTAAGATGCTATAGAATCATTACTTGTCCTCTGTGTATACTGCCTTCCCCGTGCCCCCTCCCCACCCCCGCTACCTTTTATTTATGCTAATCGTGATGCCCCTTTTTCCCCCTTCTCCCTCCCTTCCCACTCATCCTCCCAGTCCCTTTCCCTTTGGTGACTCTTAGTCTATTTTTGGGTTCTGTGAGTCTGCTGCTGTTTTGTTTCTTCAGTTTTTGCTTTGTTCTTATGCTCCACAAAGAATGAAATCATTTGATATTTGTCTTTCTCCGCCTGGCTTATTTCACTGCTGTCTCAGTTTTTTTTAGCCTCTATAATCCTGACAGTTGTAGTTGAAGCTGGGTTGAAACTTCTGCTGGATTTCCCATAACTGATCTGGCTGCTAATGCTGTTTGGTATTGTTCTAAGTTTTTTTCTGCTTACCACTTTGATCTACAACTTCCCTCCACAGCCCACACAAGGCATTACCTTGAGTTCCTGTTTAGTTTCTCTCTCCCTCTCTTTCATTCCCATCCTTACAGATTTCAAGAACACTGCAGCGTTGACTTAGAAATTATTTTTAACTATGAGAAAAGGTGTTGTGCACTACAGGGAATTGAGTTTGAGCTGTCCTGAACCATAATTAGTTCCCAATCTTGGCTGCTCATCAGAAAATTCACAGCATACATTTTTAAATTTGCAGATTCTAGGGCTCCTCCCCAGACAAATGGAATCAAACTATGAATCTTTATTTTTCAGATCCCCAGGTGATTCTATGGTCAGCCAGATTCGGGAACTACTGGACGCTCATTTCCTATTTCCTATTGTCACAGTCTCTTGGCTCATTACTGATAGTGGATTGTCATAGAAATTACTAGTATTACAGACTGCCACACAAATCCACTTTGTACCAAATCTGGTTCCAATATGGCCAGTGTTATCACTTCATGACGTTGCCTACATGTGAAAACAGAACAGGTAATTATATGATTACAGGCAAGTAATATAACCACAAATTATCCCAGAGATACAGCATTTAAAAAAGAAATCATACTTGAAGATCATCCAGTAAGAAAAACCCATCAGGGTCCAGGGGATATCTTAATAGCTGCCATTCACAGAGCATTTAGTGTTGCCAAACCTGTGCTAGACATTTCATAGTACCTCACTTATCCCTAGGAAGAAACTAAATTTCAGAAAGATCAAGTACCAATGTTGATAAAGTAACTTCTCCCAATCACTGAGTGTTTGACCATATTCCAGGCACCAATCAGTTAGCAGTGGTTTCATAGCCACTGTCTGTTAACATCTCAGTTTCTGCCAAGCACATGAAACAAAGCATTGAATCTTTACCACAACCATTTGAGGGATATAACATTGTTGTTTCCATTTTACATTAGTTCAGCTACCCAAATTACATATGGGTGCTTGAGACCTTATTTGAAACTTGTCACATCTGACTCCCAATCCACACAAGTACATGGGTGCCTCAAAGCTCAGTCC